TAATGAAAATAGCAGGCAATTAAAATAGGAAACCTGAGGCTGAAGCTTTTACTGTATATATCAGAAAATGAAGTTCAGACTTCATAAGTGGAAACCCGACCTGAAAAATAACTTAGTGGAAGTTTCTGTTTGGTCCCTATTTTAATTCCAAAAGTGATTTCTAAAGCACATAAGAAATCGGGAGGGACGTTTACTGGGGCAGGAGGCAAAGGCTACAGAGGAGCAGGCTCTCTCAATCCGTACTGAACTTGTGTGAGGAACCAGGGATATCCTTGCTGAATGGTAGCAGGACAGCTGAGAGAAATATATATAAAAAAGAACTTATGAGTCAGATTGAAATAATTTTGGGGCAGGTTTTGAAGTTGAGCTTGAAATGAATCACTGGAAGTGTCTGACAGAATGATGTTACTCAGTTCCTTCACGTGTGTGACAAAGTGCTCAGAGTCTGGGGCTCGCTAAGGACCATAAGAAATACTCACCGATTTGAAGTAGTAAGTACAAAGGCCCCTGTGATGTTGGAGTTGCTGTAGCTACTGCCCACTTCAGTGGTGTATCTGTATGTGCTTTGGTACAGCTACTCTGCCCAGAAGAGGTATTTGAGATACAAGTAGTTCCACCCAGTCCTCTAGCTTTATGACTTCCTTTAGGCAATGGAGATGTAGTATAGAGCAGAAAAATACCAGTACTCTGACTGAGCAACCTAGGAATGCCTTTATTACATTTGTATTGTCTTCAACGTACCAAAGGTCTACCTTCCATCAGAGGCATTTGTAGAAGCAACATCTGCGTCCTTGTATATAAATATTATCAGTTGCTGGGGGTGGGTGGAGAAACTGAGACTTGTAAATGAAACAAAGGTATTTCTTCAAATTATACATTCAGATTGATCTAAATATAAAAATAAAACTCTTCAGGAATGATTTTGGTCTTGGCTATATACTAGTCTAAATCCTACCACTGAAGTAAGACACAGAGTCACTTGGTTGTTCTTCATTTTTTTGACAACCATTTCTTCACATAGTGTGAAGACAGTAATTCTTTGTCATTACAATCTGAAACAGAACATATTTGTTTCCTGATTTGCTGTCTAAGTAGGAGTTTAATTAAAACCCATTCATGTGAGAGAAAATAAGCCAGTCTGACTTAATTGCCAGTTGATTTAGTATTTCCAATTCACAAAAAAACCCAAAGTGCATGACTGCAATAAGAATAAATGTTTCTCTCCTATGGGTAGGTGTTTAGGGACCGCAGAACTTGGCCTGAGCCTAGGGTATTGTTTCTCTTCTTACTCTTCTTGGCAATTGTTGGACTTGCTTTTTTTCTTTCACAAATTGATTAGTTTCTTTCTGTATTCATTGTTATTACTGAGTTACTGTCCTAACGTCCAAGACAATAAGGGTAGTAATCCCATGACTCAAGTTGCTATCACAAAGTAGCTCACGTAGTTCATCAGTGTGTCCAGCATGGCTTACAGACTGGCTCCTAATTCCGTTCAGCAAAGCTGCTGCTGTACTCGGTGAGAACCCTCCCGTGGCCCTGGTGCTAAGGCCTACACCGTTGTCTTTCCAGATGGTGGAAAAGGAGCTGTGGGGTCGGTCGCTTGCTGTCGGGAGGAGCAACAGCGCATGTCCGCCCTGTTCTTCCGGGGAGCCCCGCGGGTGGCTCTGGGGCAGGAGCCCCCAGCACGGTAAGTGCAGCCACTCTCCACCGGGGGATGCCACAGGGCCCGGGTCGCAGTTGGTCTAAAGGTGGCCAGCTCAGGGTGCTTTGGCAAACTGAATTGCTTTTAGATGTAAGAGGAATGTGGTTTGTATGACAAGTAGTTGATAAAGGTCGCGTAAGCAGCTCCAGATTACGTGGGTTTGAGCTGCATCTCCACAGGCACTGGAATCCCTTCTCGTCAAAATCTCCTGAACTTTATTGACTTGATTTAATAACGGAACTGTTACACAGTTTCCTCATTCCCGAAACTTGTTTAAATGCAGTCCCTTTTTAAAGGAGCACATCCCCACTCTGATTTATTTTAAAACAGCTTTTAGAAGGTGTCATCCTTGTGATGAAGTGTTAGGTCTGTGTTGCCAGTGTGCCATTAAAAATTGAATTTCTGACGTTTAAAAGTCTCACTCATCCCAAGTGTCACAGTTTGACAGCTCTGCATGTCACATTACAGCATAGTATTATGGATCCATTTCCTCTGTCAGGGGAAGAAAAAAAAGAAAAATGGGAGAAAGTGAGATCTACAGTCTCCTTCTTCATTACTGAGCTGGAAATTTACAGACATATCCATGTTACCCCTGCAATGACCCGCATGTCACTCTCTATCTTGTCCTGCCTGTCTGTGCAGGAGCAACCTTTGCCCCACGTTCCTGAACAAACACTAAGAGAATGCCGGGACGTCTTTTCAATTGTCTGCAAACTTGTAAAACATGGAGCAAGGGATAACTAGGGAATCGCCAGGCGGATATTGTAACGAAATCAAGACAGGGCCGGATCCCCTTGTTTATTCTTGACTAGGCCACGTGGCGCGTTTCTTGCAGCTTTGTTTTCCCACTTTCGAGGGCTGTAGCTTTGGTGCCCTGTCTCCGGTTATCTCCCTGCGGCGTGGTAACTTCAGACCGCGGCATCTGAGGGGTTTCAAAGCCTTGGGGGCGTTTGCATCAGCAAGCAGGCCGTGTTTGATTTTCCCTGAAGTGACCAAAGCGGCCCGGGCTTCAGGCGCTCCCTGCCTACAGCCCGGAGCTCTGCCCGGCGGGGCGCGGGCTCGGGCCCGCGGCGAGCAGCAGGTGCCGGGGCCGGCGGCTCTGCCCG